CGATACATAGCCAGCTTAGGAGACATTTTGTTTATTTATACTGTATATTACATATATGTGTTTTTTTCAACTTCTGTTGCATACAATGAATTGTGTGCAATGTCTGAGCTAATATTGTACCACGGAGGACCAGTAGCAATTTCCATGAAGTGACAGATAAATGTTTTTGTTTTTTTTTGGAGGGGGGATGGGCGAGTAGTTTGTCCAGGATAATTCATTTGAAATCAACCTTGAGAGTTTTCCTGATGACAAGGCTGAAAGAAGGGAGGACTAGAACAAAAGTTAAATTCTTCAGTTCTAGTAAACTGCTTTGTCTTCAAGGCTGCCTTCTCCAAGTTCTGCTAGTCCATCAAGATGAACTATTTGATTTTCTCCACTAAATACAGTCAGGCATACCATACTGAGCTTTTTACAAAAAAAAAAAAAAGGGAATTTCTTGATGGTTTTACAAACCATGCATTCAATGAATGTTGATTTGGTAATGCAAATTGACCATCAAGATTTATATTCCACAATAATCCCTCAAAATAATGATTTAGCAATCATTGCCAGCTTCTCTTTGAATCATCTTACTACCAGAACTATCAGTATTTAGAACATTGGTTGATTTGACTTCCTATATGCCTTTCAGCCTCTGGCCAAGCAGAAACATGGTCCTAGGGCAAAAGCAGGTGAGCAACTTAAAGGACACATAGTGCACTTATGAGCCATTGGGAACTGGCTATTTTGAACATCTTTACCGCTGCTCTCACATAACACTAAACTCTTTCTTAGCAGCTGATACAGGCGACTGTGTGCTATGAACAGCACAAGCAGAACTTCAATAAATTTTTTCCATGTTAAATTCACATCTGATCAGCCTACTTAGATTCCTGTCTTTAGCATCATCACACTAAAAATAATTATTCCCTGTTTAATATTATATAACGCTGTGTAGGCTCCATAGAAAAGAAATTAAAGATACTTGGGTCTTGTCTTTGGGACCTCACAATTTTGAACAGAGAATGACACCAAACAGAGAGACATAAGCTATAAACAACTGCATGAATTAAATAAGGAAATCATTACATTGAGAAACAAGAGGGCTTCGGTAGACCTTTAGTTGATGAATGAAGAGGCAATTATAGAAGCAACCCACAGGGAACTGCTAGTTTTTGAAAGGACTTAATTAATTATTTAATTAAGACACTACTGTAGGAAGGCAAATCTGGAAATTGTGCAGATTTGGCAACTGCAAAATGATTGAAGTTCAGGGGTGGGAGAAATATTTCAGAACTCTTATTATTTTAATCTCTAAACCTTGCAAGAAATAGCATCAGAACTAAGGTCCAGCAAATTCTGTAGGCTTTAAGTTTTGCCTTCATCCACATGTAACCAAGAGCAAATGAGCAATTTACATTTAAAAAAAAATGTCAGGGTTGTGCTCAAATGTATATTGAACTCAAGCTTGTGACAATGCTCACCAAAATGAATACAAATAATACATTTTTATGAAAAAGTAATCACAACCTCCAAAAACAGTACCTAGTGGTGTTGTTGTTTTTTTTTTAATATATTTTATTGATTTTCTACAGAGAGGAAGGGAGAGAAATAGAGAGTTAGAAACATCGATGAGAGAGAAACATCGATCAGCTGCCTCCTGCACATCTCCTACTGGGGATGTGCCCGCAAGGACAGCTGGATTCTCATATCGCCTCCCACATTCAATCTATTGCAAATCTTGGTGTGTTGTTGTTTTTAATGACAATTGCATCTATTTAAGGAGTAAAACATAATGTTTTGATATCCATATACATGGTAAAATGATTACCACAATCAAGCTAAGGAGCATGTCATCTCCTAACATATTTACCATTTATTTTTTTTGTGGCGAGAACACCTAAAATCTTCTCTCTTAGCAAATTTCTAGTATATAATAAAGTATTTTTAACTACCGTTATCATGCTGTACATTAGATCTCAGGATACTGTAGAAAATGAGTACTATATTAAATATATTAGATATATTATCTAAAGATATTAGATACATTAATGGACACATTTCAACAGCATCAGTTGGACAATTAAAGTCAATGCACTCTGAAAACAAATTATTATGAGGCCATACTTAAATAAGCTTGTCTGAATAGCTGGAGTTCAAGCATTTATTTTATCTACTTTGTTCAGGATAAACAGAATTAATGAAAGATAATGGGCCTAATGCAAAAATCTGTTTCACTAGTGCCTTATTGACACAGCTCAAATGCTCCAAAATCAGCCCTTTTCATTTGGAAAGTGAATTCTTTCAGCTTGAAAATCGTAGTGATTTTTCCCCCTCTGCAAATTGCATACCATTTTAAAAGAACATGTTTGAGAAAGACACATGAGAAAGAAATTTAACTACAAACTGGTAGAGATGACCCTGCTGTCACTCTTGCTCTCTGGCAAGCAAATGTGGATCTGAGGTTCTAGCCAAAGACTCACTTCCCCAGGGTGATTTCGATAGATATATACCTTTACCTCAAAGCATACACAATGTGGTTTTCTGGAAATAAGGATGAAAATCTACTGAATTGAGTGCTGTCCTCTATGCTTGAACATGTAAGAAATAAAATGCTCTTAAACAGAGGAGATCCTCAAAGAGATGCCTTAAGATGAGAATCTCCAATAGAGTTTTCAACACACACACACACACACACACACACACACCCCTACAAAATAGAAAGTTTTCCAAAGAATCAAAAGGCTCCTGACAGAATTCAGCTCCTCAAGTCAATGAGGGGCTGACTAACACAGTTACAACTCAGAGACTAAGAATCCCTCCTGTGAAGCATTTTCTGTAACCATTGGTTAGGATTTTCTTATGGGGCACTATGATATTTTTGTCATTAACATATCAGCCAGACTGTATATTTATTCATTCATTCAACCATCAAGTGCCTACCGGATGCCAGCATTGGGGATGCAAAATGAATATGCTATAACCCCCGAACTTCTTGAATCTGATGGGTGATGTCAGGAAAAACACTCACTTCCATTTAGGGGAGCTTCATCAGAAGGAACAAATAGAAAGGTGATCCAGGCAATGGAAATGGCATGTGAGAAGGCATGGGGCAGAACAAAAGGTACGTTGGGGTCATGGCAAAACTGCTCACAGTAAGTAGATGGGAGTAGAGTTAGGCAGAGGCCAAATGGCCAAGGGAAAAGAAATCTTTGATAGCTGTGAAACAGAAATAGGATAATCAGGAATTCATTTAAAGATAACAACCTGGGGTAGTATGATATAATGTTCCTAAAACAACTGGATGCTCGTTTTGCCAAAGTAAGTTGTGAAAAAAAGTTACATCTATGCCCACAGAAGAGGCCTGGACCTCTTTCAACTGAAGAACCAGGTCTTTTTCTCAGCAGCTGCTGTCCTTGAAAATAGGACCACAACTGAGGAAGGTTGAAGGAGAAGGCTTTACTCTGAGACTGTCTTGGCATTGCTGAGAGTACTTGCAAACCCGTGGCCATTATTTTTCAATCAAATGCATATTCTGACAGCAGTAACCAATGCAGATCCAAGCAAAGACCAACAGACAATAAGAACTGTCTACATTGTATTGGGATGATTAAAGAACTGACTGAGAAAGCAATTTAATTACTCATATTCCTTCATCGTCTTCAAATTGTGCCTGCATCAAATGACAGCTTGAGCTATAATTATTCCATTAATCTGAAGTCTTCTTTCATTATCATCATTTATTTCAATATAATATTGTTTTTTTAATAAAATATTTTTGTTACTATTATTTCTTGAAGTGGTAGCACATTCACATAGTTCAAGCATCAAAAGTATAAGAAGCCCTAGCCAGGTTGGCTCAGTGGATAGAGTGTCAGCCCAAGGACTGAAGGGTCCCAGGTTCAATTCCAGTCAAGGGCACGTACCTCAGTTGCAGGCTTGATCCCTGGACTTGGTCAGGGATGTGTGGGAGGCAACCAATTGATGTGTCCTCTCTGTCCCTCCCACTCCCTTCCACTCTCTCTAAAGACCAATGGGAAAATATCCTCGGGTGAGGAATAACAACAACAAAAAAGTATAAGAAGATACATTTATACCATGGAATACTTTGCAGCAGTAAAAAAGAAGAATCTCTTACCCTTTGAGACAGCATAGAGGGACCTGGAGAGTATGGTGCTAAGTGAAGTAAGTCAGTCAGAGAAAGACAAGTAAGACATGATCATACTCATATACCGAATCTATTAACAAAATAAACCGATGAACAGAGTGAATCTAGAGACATGGAAACATGGAACAGAGTGTGGAATATCAGAGGAAAGGCAGAGGAGGGTGGGTGTATGGGAGGTAATCAACCAGGGACCTTGTATTCATATGTGCATGGCACATGGACACAGACAATGGGGTGATGAGGACCTGGGGAGGCGGGCAGAGGTGGGATGGAGGGGGTCAATGGGGAAAGATGGGGACATATGTAATACTTTCAATAATAAAGAATTATTTAAAAAAAACTATAAGAAGATATACAGCAATACCTCTTTTCCATTTTTTTTTGTTTGTTTGTTAATCCTCACCCAAAGAGATTTTTCCAATTGATATATTTAGAGAGAGTGGGAGAGAAAGGGCTTAAGGGAGCGGGGGGAGAGAGAGAGAGAAAGAGAAACATAGATATGAGAGAGATACATCGATTGTTTGCCTCCTACCACTCAGGTTCGTGCCCTTGACTGGGAATCCTTCGGTGAGCAGGCCAAGGCTCTATCTACTGATTGACACTGGCCAGGGTTCAACTTCTGTCTTCAATCTGCCAAGTTCCTATGCCCCCAAAATAGGTAATCAACATTGTTAGTTTCTCATTTACTTCCCAGGATTTTAAATATATACAACCTAGTACAAGTATAGATTATTTTTTCTCTTTTTATTTCATCCTAAGAGAACACTATTTTGACACTTTTTTTCTCCCTGCTTAAATCTGAGAGATTGTATCAGTCAGCTCTGGCTGTCATAACAAAATCCCATAGATTGGGTGCTTAAACAACAGAAGTTTATTTTTTCATAGTTCAGGTGACTGGACATCCAAGATCAGAGTGCCAGCATTTGAGTTCCAATGAGAGCAATCTTCCTAGCTCATCATCTCCCCACTGTGTCCTTAGCAAGCTGGAAAAGAGTAGAGCTGCCTCTAATTTTGAGACAAAAAGAAGAAGAAAAATTCAGTGAAAAGACAAACTTAAAAAATTTTTTTCAAAAATTTTCAATCATAGTTTACATTCCATATTATTTTGTATTAGTTTTAGTTGTACAGCATAGTGGCTAACCAATCATATACTTTACGAAATAGTCATAGAGATGTACTAAAGTACAACATAGGGAATATAGTCAATAACATTGCAATAATTGTCTATGGTGTAGGTGGGTACTGGAAATATGGGGGGAAACACTTTGTAAAGACATGAACATTTTGAGGTAAAAAATAGTTTAGAAATATTTATGACCTGAACGTAATCAAGGTAGTCTTGTGTTGAGGGCCCAACTGGCAGAAGAAATGTGAAACGAGTAAGGAAATGATGATGTTGGCAAAAAAAGTGAAAACACTGACTCTGTCACAAATTCTCCAGGTCTCTAATGCCACAGTTCTCCCTCCAATATAATGGTGAGTGAACATTGATGTACTGGAGTCGAGAGCAAACAGTTCAATGTCTTAAATAACCCCAGCAAAGACTGTAAGAGAAGTTCATTTACTATATAATTCAATTTCTATGGCTGTTAGGAGCTCCCATCCCCGGCCCACTCCACAGGAAGGAAAAGCATTAAGCAAGCTGTTAAAATAATGCATTCCCACCGGACAAAACATCCTACAGTTTTTCAAACAGAGATGGCAGTCTGTGGTCCAGCCTCCAATCACCCTCTGTCAATATTTCTGCTTTTTCTGGAATAATACCCAAGTGTTTATAACTTTTCCTGTTAAAAGGTATGCAAATTAAAAAATAAATTTAAGCTTGTGCTCTAGGAGCTAAGATGCTGGGAGACAAAAGTGCGATAGGCTTCCCTTCTTGGCTGAAAAGCCCACATGACATGTCTATTTGGGCCTGCTGGTGCCTTAACCGACATTTGAGATTCTAGTCTTTTGTCACTTTAAACCAACTCTACTATGAAAATATTAATTTCTTTATTACATCTCATAGAAAATAAAGGTTACTATCTTTGTTTACTCAATTCACCTCCCTCCATAAAAAACAAAAAACACAAAACAACAAAACATTCCAATGACAAGGGTGGATATGTGGTCTTGTTTGAACCTATCATATTACCCCATCTTCTTGACTTGGTGATTGGTTTGGGGAGAAGTATGTGATCTAAATTGATGCAATGCAAGTAACTGACTGGAGCCAAAGAGAAAGAGCCAAATAGTCAATTCATTGCTGGTAGAATTGCTGATAGGATGGGATGGAAAAGCAAGATCACTAGGAGCCACATTGCCCATGGCATGGAGAAAGCCATCGGCAACAAGAACCAGAAACACTAGTCAGAGTTAGAGAGTGTGAGCCCTAGAAGTGTTCCTGGGACACAATCCAGACATCCTCAGGACCACTTATATCAGGTGCTTGGAGCTTGAGATAAGTCAGTCCTGATATGTGTTAAATACAATTTTGTTGCATGAGTGAAATAAATAAAATGATTTAAAATCAACATTTATCTGGGGGTAGTGATTCTTAGAGCTTCTAATTTGAAGTAACTTTTATTTGAAAATATCTTTCAAAAGCAACTAACTAATAAAACCATCACAAAGTACTAATATTCACTTAATTTGTAGCCAACTATTGAAATATGCTACTGTAAACAAAATTAAAATGAAAGAGTAGTTAGAAGTCTGTCAAAGCAGAAAGTATTTAAAAATATCAGAGATAGCTGTCATTTTGAACAAATACAGCACACCTCTTAATTAGTGAAATTTAAATATTTCCCTTTTAAAACTCTGACGTTCATAAGGTAGACATGTAAAAAAAATGTGGGTTTATACTTGGAGCCAAATAGTTATTTAGCTATTTAGTTAAACATGTGCCCAGAATGCTAGACCTGCTGCCTTTCACAACATTGCTTTTGGAAGTCAGCCTTTCTCCACTGTCTTTCCCCAAGGTGTCTTTTTAAAATGGGAAATTGATTGATGAAATCTTAGGCATGAATAAATGCTAATGCATATAATACATTAAAATGCTATCATTTTATAAGAAAGGCTTGTTGGCTAACAGTGTTATTACTTCTAGTAATTCCAAGTCTAGTGTTTAACTTACATAATGAAAAGAGGAAATCAATTATTCTGTCCACAGTATGGCAAAACTCATTTTCAAAATTATGTTTTCAGAGGCAACCAGACTGACTTATCCACTGACTTAAAATGTAGGGTGTCACATTTGAGCAGTTTTTACCCCACTTTCAAATGTATTGAACAGTGTCCAAACTATAAGGAAGCACTTTTTGCATTGTCTGGACAGGGATGCGTGCAAGTTCATATCTAGCTAATAATTCAGGTTCACCCTCCCCAAAAGCATATTCTACAAGTGAAGTAGTTCTAGTATTTATGGGGTGGACAGTTACCAGAACAGCTCTTAAAGGCTACATAATAAAAGTGCATTAAAGCTGCCTAAATTAATTACGCATAGATACTGAAATGGATTCAGCTAATGGATTCTGCCTCCCAGAGTGCCCTCTTTCAATAATAAAAAAGGCAAAAAACACACGTTTTCCTCCTCTTTTATATAACATCCAGCTACCTGACCAGGGACTGCCCACAGCACCCCTGAGCCAGCAGCAGGCAGAGTTGCGATCAGACACTCATGCTTCTCTCCAAGGGCAAATGGGCTGCCTCAGCAGCTGTCACATCCTGCTGCCCTTGGTAACTGGAAACTGGTCTAGAGTTTCAAACTCATCTCCTGCTTTGCATTACCAAACTGGCAGTCTTGCCAGATCCTTGTAAATGCCTGTTATATATTGTGCTGGGCCAGAACAGCCAAGGGTTCTGTGAGCCTGAAGGGGGGAGAGGGGAGGCAGTGAAGGATTAAAGAAAAAACAAAGAGAATAAGCTGGGTCTAGGTCAGGGGTGGGTAACCCCTGGCACGCGTGCCAAACATGGCACGCCAGTAACTTTTGCTGGCACGCGAAACCCTCTCTTATAACCTTCCATTTACAATTTTTTTCTTAATATCAACTTTTTTATTTTTCAGATAAATTCAATGTGGGTGCATCTTAGATAAATAAATAATTTTACATAACAAGTTATCTTAAAGACCATAGACATGGATTGACAAGAGAGGGGAAGAGCAATTTCAATAGTGTAGAAAACGAACTATTGAGGACTTGGAATGCCATTCCAGAAAATTTTTTCTGTTTAAACACCTTTTTA